CACCCTGTGCTAGTGGGAGGTGGCCCTGCCCATGGCAGGGGGTGGCACTGGGTGGGCTGCAAGGTCCCTTCCCACCCAAACCCTTCTGTGACTCTATGAGATGGACACATCTGCGTGTGCTGCAGGAAGCAGTGTTTGTAGCAACTAAGGATCAGTTTTTTCTTTTCTGTTAGTCCCCAGCTGGTCTGAGATGAGTGGGAGCCCCTCGGGGAGCCCAGGAGTGTCCTCTCGAGATGTGATGTTTCCCATTTGCAGGACAGGTCCAGCACACCCAGGGCCAGCCCTTGCTGTCCCCTCTCGTCTCTCTCTCCGCACGTTGCTCCATCAGTTTGCTCTCCAGTTTGAATGTTGAAGGTCTTGAGTAGGAGAAGATTTTATGACCTTGAGATACTTTTTCTTGGCTGAGATGATTCCATTTGGGTTTCAGGATATTTTTTTTTCTTTCCATTGTGTGGATAGTTTTAGGTGGTCACTGGGGAGCACAGCTTTGCTTCTCGTGGCAGAAAACAGGAGCATCCTCAGGTTGGTCTGGGGTAGAAGTAGCGTTGCCTCTGCTGCCTGTACAAGATGGGTTTGTCCAGCTTTTATTGATTCATCTCAAACTGTGATAACTGTGACTTTTGGAAGAGAAGTTCATGTTTAAGAGGGGGGACTGTTGGGTTGATGCCCCTGGTTTCTGACAGCATGAGCCACAGCATTTCATCGTGGTCCATCCAGGAGCTGAAGTACGTGTTCTGGAAACTCATCACATCCTGAAGTTATCCGAAAAGGGATGTACCGCATTCCTCCGAAATTTGAGCCAGGGCTTACATTGTTGCCATCTTTTTAAAAACCCAACTATTTTTCATTCGAATCATTTGGCTGGTCCTCACGGATGAAGACAACCTCTAATACTCTTATTTCTGTCCCTGGTACTACAACATGATGTTTAGAAGCTTCATTACAAAGTGAGCGTCTTCATTTCAACTGAAAATTTGCCAAATCTTTTTTTTTTTCCCCTTTAAACCTGGCAATCGCCGTCTCTCTGGAAGCTGCTGCGTTTGTGTTGAGGTTTAACAGCGGTTCCGCTGGCACTGGAGGTTGGTTGGGGGTGACCACCAGAGGCTGCACCCCCCCGGTCAGTCCCGTGGGGACCAGGTTCCCTCTCGGTGCTAATTTGGGTTCTTGTGCGAGGATTGGGATGACACTGGTGCAACTGCCCCAAAGTGCCATCAGAGCCCTAAGTGGGAACAACTCGTCTGTTCTTACTTCTCGTTGCCATAAAGAATTCTGATGGATTTAATCCCGTCCAGAGGAAGAATACTCACTTCCAGACTAGATTAGGACATGTTTAAATTTGAATGTGTTTGGAGTGGAACACGGAGACGTCCCATCTGGGGGGTCATACCTGCTCAGGCAGATCTTCCCCTTCTTTTTTCATTAAAGGCAAAGGTCTTTTGTAAAGACACTGAAAATTCAGGTTAATTTGAGGCTTATTAACCGAAATTGTGATGTGCTTTGGAAAATTAAGCAAATACGTCCTGAGTATTTAATACATGAAATAAAGTTGAGACTGTGGGGTTGGAAATTTAATTTCTTCCTGGGAATGGTGAACTTTCTCCTCACCTTCCCAAATCCAGCTCTCTGTTGGTGTGAACACAGAGTGACTAAGAGCAGGGCTGGTCTCTGGGGGCTGGCCAGCTCTTGCCCGGTTGCGGGTGGCCCGACACGCGGCTCTCGATCTGTGTTGCAGGCTGCAGAAGGCTCAGGAGGAGCATCGCTCGGTGGAGGTGGAGAAGGTGCACCTGGAGAAGAAACTGCAGGACGAGATCAGCATCGCCAAGCAGGAGGCACACCGGCTGCGAGAGCTGCGGGAGGGCACGGAGAACGAGCTGAGCCGGCAGAAGTACGCCGAGCAAGAGCTGGAGCAGGTAAGGGCTCAGCCGGGTGGATGCTCTTACATAGGAGACATGCTGGTGAGAGCAATGTTCCTCGCTCTGCTTCATCCTGCTGAGAAACCCAGGGGTGTTCTTACAGTGCTTTTCTGCTTTGGCTTTTCCTCTCTCCTTTGTGGAGGAAAAAAATCCCAGTATTCCCCACTGCTCCCCATTCTGCGTCCCCTGTCCGTGTACCAGCGCTGCGTGTGCTGGGTGGCGGGGAGCAGGCAGGTGCTGTCCCGAGCGATGTGCTGCCGCCGCACATCATCCCAGCTCACCCTGAGCTTGACCTGTACCTGCATCCTCTGATGACTTCTAACTCCTGCTCCAAACCATAAGCTCTTTCTTTTTTTTGTGTGTGTCTATTGATGGTTGTAGAAGAGATTTACGACGAGTTCGGTTGTGCTTTCCTTGTGGATCAGAGAGGTGGGCAGAAACATCCTTCCACGGAAATGTAGCGCTGGGTTAGAGCCTGTGCAGCAAAGTTAGAGCTGTGCAGTTCTTAAAAAGATGAGTGTTAAATTCAGCCTAGCAGGAAAATATGTCCCAAAGCTGTATCTGGCAGTGTGCAGCCTAGGCAGAATGTTGTGTATAATGCTGCTGCTGGCAAAAAGGAAACATGTTTGGGGTGTTTCTCAGTTTAAACTGAAATCGTGTGGCCAGAATTGCCTGAGCCAAGGGAGTACCTTGGGTGTTCTGAGGCCACCAGCACATCCTCCAGCCTGACTGTGCCCAGGCTTTATCCCACGAGGGAGGAGCGGGGAGAGAGCAGCCCTGGGGAGAAGGACTGGGGGGTGAGAAGCTGAAGACGAGCCGGCAATGTGCGCTGGCAGCCCAGCAACCCCCCGTGTCCTCGGGGCCTCCC